AAGTGTAAATGACATGTGCAGGTGTTCAGTCAGCAGACGAAGGGCATGTTTGTGTTTTTATTTTAACAGGCAGATCATGTTTGACGTGTGTGTCCTTTAGCTTGAAATGAATCACAAAAGGACTCAACAACTCAATCCATACTCAATTACTCAAAAAATTATATAAAGTGTGCGAGTGGTTTGGTCAGGTTTGGTCCATGTTGGTCTTGTTTCGCACCTCTCGGGGCGCCAGGCGACGACCTGGATCAGCAGCTCAAAGATTTGCTCGCGAGGCGGGCCGCGCGGGAGGATGTTTGGACCCGTCGGTATGGGTTCACAGGGTCACAGGATGTCCGGTTTGAGTACCATCGTTCATGCTGGTTCCTTCAGGTGGTTCACAGGGTGATCTCATGGTGATTTCTTGAGATGTCTTGAATGTTTGAGAAGTGTTCAGGTGGGTGTCGTTTCTGCGAAACGACACACCCTTTTCTCGGACATTGCCAATTGCGGATGGGATGGTTGGGAGGGACTATGCATTGGGATATCCGGGTCAGGCTGCAGTGCCATGTGTTGCATGTTTCTTCCATTGGATGTTTTGTCCAGAGCTTGTGATTGTGTGCCCTGCCACTGACAGTTTGGCTGCCCCACGCATTCCATGTGGCTCCGCGGTTTCGGGTGATTTCGGCAAACTGTGTTTCGGAGGTCTCGCTGCACATCCTATTGCCACTCTATGACTCCAGCGAGTCGCAGGTAGCTTGCATCAGCATGCGGCAATGTGTAAGAAAGAAGAAGGAGAAGGAGAAGGAGAAAGAAGCATGGAAGCAAAAACCTACCATAATTATTCTACTGTCACCAGGAGCAATTTCTCATGCTCCATATTTCTCCACCTCCCCTCCAAAAGCATCTACGCTGGACTGTCTTTGCCGCCAGGACTTGCGCCAAGCCTATCCCAGTCGAATGAGGCGATGTCCGCTTCGCGCCATGCGCGGACGGGGGCGCCGCGGCCAATGGTTTCGGTCCAGGTCACCGATGTTGGCCGATGTGGTGGCCGTTTTCTATGGTGTTTTTTTGGAAACAACATGGATTCTGAGGGCAGATTTTGTGGGTGTGGTAATTTCATCTCATTTCTTTATAACTGTTCATATGAATCTTGGTGACCCCTGCAGATGGTGACTGATGGCTTTTTATTGACCATGGGATGCAAGGAATCCTTGGACGTTCTTGGGGGATCCTATATTGGAGAGCAGAGCAGATGGGCTATTGATGCATATCGGCAGCATCGCGTGGTCTTTTTTGAGGTGACTTGCTACTTCTTTTGTCCAACAACAACGGGTACGTGATTCATTTTGTTTTGTTCATACATTGCAAAACCTGACAGGAGCTTTGTCCCTTCTCCGCATGAGGGTAGATTCAAGACGATTCAGGATTGGTGTCGTGATGTCATAGTATCCAGGACATTCTGCTCGAAGTGTACCTTGGTGGCAAGCACCTTAGCAGCCTAGTCCCGGCTTGATCAGGCCCCCCAATAACAAGCAAATCGCAAAGGCTGATCCATCAAGACATGCCAGGCTGTATGTGTCCACATGTTTGAGGACTCTTCATGAGGACTCTTGAAATTCCACGTGGCAGTTTCTATGGTTGTTGGCGAACACATACTGTTGACTGAGATCTGAACCAAAGGACCTCAGATCTGGGTGCTTTAAGATCTTTAAGATTTCTAGTTTGTGAACATGTTTAACTTCTCATGTTCTGGTGGGATGCTCCATCCATCTCTCCAACAAAAACGGGGATGTAGCTGGGGTTCAGCTTACCCCCAGCCATGTGTGCTCCGGACGCTCAGGTGGGAGCCTTCTCAAACGAGAGCACCTGCCACACAACATGGCGCCTGAGCCGCGCCTTTGTGAGCTCGGCGTGTCCACCGGCGCCGGCGGAAAAGAACCAGGGGACGGGCAGCGCGCGGCCAGGATGCCACTGGCTATAGTATATAGCGCGCACGAAGGCCAAGGGGTTCATGACACGTGCAGAGTTTTCTGAGAGACTCACTGTTTGTGTGCTATTTACACTTTTAATCACTTTTATTCTATCAACCATATGTAGAAAAGTTGCCAGGTTTTGATCACAGCTGAGGACAGGGATGGGCTCTTTTTGGTTGGATGACGAAACCCGTCACAACCATATCATACCATCTCCTTCTTTCTTGCATGGGGATCGGTGTCCTTCCGCTTCTGTTTGCAGAAGCGGCGAATCGATTGGGGTCCCTTCGTTCTCATCCAGAGGATTCGGACAGGCCCCCCGCAGCTGTTTTTTGGGTCGGACAGCGGCCGCATCCGATTTTGACACCACCGGGAGGTGCGGAGTGGCCTGGAATGGGTGGCATGCCGGGCCGCTGGAACTTGATTGGTGGACACGGGGTTGATTTGGGGTGAAAACTGGCATAGGATGGAACATGGTCCATGGTTACACATGGTTTGAAATCGTTCATGAAGGACTGTTCTCAAGACTCAAGAGACCATAACAGACCGAAAGGCTTAGGCTGAGGCCCTCGGAAAGGCTGCCGGAAGCTGTTCGAGCTGCCGGCCCGATCATTGGTGAATCATTCCAGAGGCCTTCTGGCACTGTGACATGAGGGACAAGGAACTTGTCCCTCCGGGGGCATTCAAAGGACAACCGTGGTGTCCCTCACACGATTCTATGAAGGCTGCTAGCTGCTTGCTTGCTGAGGTATGAGTATGCGTATAAAATAGTATGTTTAAGTATGTGTACGTATTATAAGTGTTCATGCATGCTGCATAACACAACACATTATATATAGATCCATGGGTGTGCTTACGCACGCTTTGCCAGGATGGTTGCAGAAGGCCAAGTGCTGGTATTGCCCTCAGATGAGCGGCATTCGGTGACTTGCATGATGCGATTCTTAGATGGTTTGCTGCATTCAGCTGTGGTTGTACAAAACCAATTTTTGTCTCTCCCCTTGCACATTTGGTTTGCACGACATGATTCTTTTCCAACCGCTTTCGTTGTTAGAGGAAGACTATCAGACTGTACATACTGTACGACAGAGTGCACAAGAGTGGACAGCAACATGACAAATAAAAGTATATGTCCACTTCACGCATCTCTACTCGTATTTCATCACACATGGCGATGGGTCAAAACCTGGAGTCATGGAGCCCCAACACCAGCCATGTAGCTCGACCTTCCAGTCAACGAAGGTATCCTGGTTTTCACCCACAGCCACGTGATTATTTTTGCCATGGCAAGATTTTTTAATGTTCCAAGACTCAACCTTGTTGTTCCTTTTGGTTGCAGACACACAAGCTGCTAAGTTTGGCTCTCAAAAGCATTCTCATTCATCCAAAGAGAGACGACACGTTGCGGCTTAGACTGTGGCAATGCAGAAGATCCGGTCAAACCCACGTGGCAATTGGCCCCACGATCTTTATCAATCAGACATGTTTTCTTCTTTTTGCGGGACAAACCATGTGTTAACATGGGTGTGAAGGCCCGGAACCAGTCCTGGGAGCTCCTCGGTTTTTGATTCGGCCCCGGTCGATTCGGCACCCATTGGAGGCCTCTCCAATGGCAGAGGGTTACAAGGCGCGGAGACTGCCGAACGTGCAGTGAGTCCTTTTGGGAACCGTGGGATGATCTTCATGTATCTACATGATGGTCTACATGTATCTAGATCACATGATATCACATGGATGTGTCTCAAACAGCAAGCCATAGACCACCACCATTTCATGTACCCTCCAGCAGGTCTCAAGTCTCAACACAGGGAAACAACTGGTTGGGCTAGAAAAAGAAGATGTTCTTTGCTGTGTACTTTTGGGGGAATAAATTTCAGTGAAGCTCCTTTTCTCCTTGGGCAGGTGTATGGATGTGTCTTCATCTTGCAGCCGGTTCACCTGCGAGCAGTTGCACTATTTTAGGGGGCATTAGAGTCAATGGATTAAAGATGATGTTGGAACTTGCTGAGGGACACTTGTAGAGAACCTCAGCATGGTTGGCCAACACATGCGACCAGGTTTTTCAGATTCGTTCCATTATCCATTCCTGTCGCTTTGCCGCTTAAATGGTTGAATCATATTGAATCATTGACGTTGGTTCCAACACTTGTAGCCTCCAATCCAAACTCACAATGCCGACAGAGAAAATGACTGCAACCCTACAAGCTGTCGAACTCTCCACCATCGTATACCATAGTTATTCTTTTCGCCATACCCAGTTATTCATCATTGGCTTGAGGGACTGACATCATATCATCCTCCACCATCCCCCACATCCCTGCAGAGGCTGCAGTGGTGCCTGGAGGCCACTTGGATTCTTGGATGGCTTCTTGGGTCAAAGCGGAGAGATTTTGTGAACCTCGGGAAATTATCCCAGGGGCCTTGGATTCATTTGAGCCGGGTACAAGAGCTATTTTTGGGTGTTCCAGAGTTTGGGATGCACAAACCTTTGGGAGGTCCTACAATCTACAATATGTCTCAGTGGAGACAGGTCCATATTGAAAACAAAGTTGGTTTGTGTAGCTCCCGGGCCATATCGGCGCATCACCAGATTGGCCAGAGAGAATCACAGATTTGTTGAAGCGTCGCAGATCAAAACAATTAAACAAAATACACATTCACCATTGGAAGACAGCATGGAAGTTGCTTACTTTCTTTTGATTTGTGACACACATCGAGCAGATCACATTCACCATTGAATTTGATCTGTTTGCCTTTGCAAGAACCCCCGAATTTCAGCCATGAGGAACTGGGCGAAGCGGTGGAAGAAGGGCCTTGAGATCGTCCAAGAAGCTCTAAGACGTCGAGACGGCGAAGTGAAATGAACTACAGAAACACGTGTCCAAACAACGCGTGTCTAAGGATCCAACCAAAACAAGATAACTACGCCCAACGGAGCCATGCCATCTCATGCCATCTACTTCGGCGTTCCGACCGGCGCCCATGCCGGTGCCAGGTCCCGGCGTCCAGCTGGTGACCAGCGAGGATGGGGATGTGCTGGCTGTGCACATGAGCCAGGCACGAGATGAACATTGAGGGTGACCATTGAGCCCATTCACATATCGAATCCCTTTGAGAAGGTAGAAGATGGTAGAAGTGTTATGAAGTGTTTTCGTATGTATTTGTTTGCCGAGTTTGCAGGTTCCAAGATGTTCCAAGTACATTCTCAGGATGTAGGTGGAACCCACTGGAAGGGTTGCACACACACACACACACACAAGACCACCACCGTGGGGGCTAGTCAAACAGATCCCTTTCTGATCGACTTTTCATTGAGTGCGTTTTGGCCCAAACCAGGGGTTCCGTAAGCCGCTGGCCGCTAGCCTTTTGAAGAAGTCAAACCTCAGGGTAGTTACGAGTCTACAAATGCGTTCCGAGCGCTGCAGTGTACTCGGAGCACCTGAAAACTCAAGGAACATGACTTTGGATCCATCAACCTATGGCATGGTCTCAAATGTTTACATCCCTGGTGCCATGCTTAGGGCAACTGGGGGTCTAGTCATTTGCCACCCTGCCGCCGCAGACTGCACAGCTCTACACCACGGTGGATCGGATTCTCAATAGCCAGAGGAGCTTAGTGGAGAGCATGATTTGAGCCATTTGCTGTACATTGGGTCCAACATGGTCCAACATGGTCCAGCTATCCTTGCTTCCCCTTCTGCATTGGTCTCAAACGAGCAATTCTGAATCTAAATGAAGTGTTTACTGGTCCTGCTTCAACTAACGGCACAACGACCCCCACCAAACACAACCATGATTGGATCATTTCAGAGCTTTCAGAATCACAGGAATCAACAACTCCAAGCAAGTAGACGTATTTACGAGATCACATGTCCCACAAGATTCCAAACTTCTGTCTTGTCCACCTTGGACCTGCAAGATTGCTGATCGCCCGTGCCAAAAGCCAGGATCCTCTCCTTGCCCTTGGCAGACCGCTATACCCTGGCCGGCAAGGCGCGGCTCGCTGAGGTCCCGCGGCCCCGCGATCGCGGACGGACCGCGATGACGGACCGCGGACCGCGCAGGTGGCAGCGGTGCCGGAGGAGTTTGGTCGGTTGATCGAACGCTTGGCCTCGACCGTGGCGACCGCCATGAGTGAGGACGGATGCGGGGAGAGGGGGGCGGAGTTGGGGGTTGGAGAACTGGGGTGATGGTGGAGCGAAATCAAAGCATACTGGAATGGAGATGGCACAGAAAAGTACAAGGACATTCACTCAAAGAACCTTAAGCAATCAAGAGTCTTCGTAGATCAGTTGAGGTTCAACAATCATTCACTTTATGACTCCAATTGATATACTTTTTGGAGGGCAACTTTCCCTGGGCAGATATGTTCAAATAGGAGGTCCTAATAGAGTATTTGCTTGCATGGAAAGCAACATCTCTTGGTTCAAGTCTCCAGCTTCATTTGCTGACTCTGGGCAGTCTATACCTTTTTGTTGGTTCAGGAATCTGAGCTGTGACCTGATCAACGACCTGGGCATGCATGTTACATGAACGGAAGAAGTGCACAAGAACCCCATCTATGACAACGATTGTGGTTGAAATCCCTTCTTGCTCAACTTGAGACCCCACAGGCGAGCGCCTTGAACGCCTTGTACCTCCTAGAGATCTGCAAGGACACAGGGACATCGGATGTGCATTCAGTGGACCCGCTTGAGGTCACATTCAACAGATCAGTTTGAACCGTTTTGAGGCTACTCCCAAACCATCCCAAAGCCACCATGACAAAATATTCCATGCATGCAGAGTCCAGGATTTGCAAAGGTTTCCTGAATCACCAGACAATGTGCTCAACTTGAATTTCAGATTCCCAAACAAATCTCATAAAATCACCACGTTGGAGTACTGTGCTTGTACTCACCCACTGGTGCATCAGTATCCAAAGGTGAAATTCAAGTTCAACCAAGACGCAGCAGACCGAGCCCACCCACCGTTTGCCTCCCGTTTTCCCGGGCTGCTTCCTGCTCCCGTGGGGGCATGTTTTGGTCCTTGTTCTCATAGAGAACTTGGCTCCCTACTGTGCAGACGATTCATGGTTCTTACTGGAGGCCATTACTACTAGTAGCAAGAGGCTACTGGAAGCGACGTAACGGCAGCTCCTGAGCTCAAAAAAGACCGAGGAGTTGGTGCCAGGCTTCAAGGAGAAGATCCCAGAGAAGCGCTTCGAGGCGGCGGCGGATCTCTCCATGCACCAACGTGCCAAGGAGACCCGAAGAAGGGTTCGGGGGCGAGGGCGCTTCGGCGCGTCTGGACGGTGCGACCGGATGACATCTCCAGCGTTTTAGGGTCCCCAGAAGTCCCCTGTGCGGAGTAGTTCACTCCATTCCCATCCCATTTCCATTGGGGCACGACCTGCACCCACGGAGACACCCCTGAAGGGCAAGTCCAGTTACCTCAGCATTCTGGACATGACACAGGGAGAGAGCAGCCAACACTCTATCGCCAGACATTTTATACCAAGCAACATGTAGAGATGCACGGCATATGACATCTAGCGACAGTGGGGAGTCGATCGTCGTAATCCTGCTTGTCCCAGGACTTCGTCCTTCAGGGTCAACGACCCAGCGAGTGTGGTGCCTAGCATCTAAATCTTAAATCTACACCAGTAGGATTGCTAGCTGCTAGCTACAAGAAGCCTGGCTGGCACCAAGCAACAATGTTTTACGGGCGGGCAAGCAGGAAGGATAGAGTCCGTTGGAGAGCTCGTTGTTTTTGTTGAAGCCTTTGGCCAGCAAAGACCATCAAATCAGTAATGGCTCACACTCTTTGATACCCTCGCGACCAACGTAGCATATCAGAAGCTGCTATGCAGGCTATACCGTTTATGGGAAATCAGCGTCCAAACCCAGTTCTGGATCGCCGTGTAGGTTTGATGGAGGGTTGTCGATAATCCCGTCACGATTTTCTTGATCGACTCCCCTTCCTCTTGGTTGACCCAGCGATGAGGTGGGCAGTGGGCGAGCAGCCCAAGGGCACGCTGATCCTCATGCCGGCGGAAAGCTCAGCCTGCTGGTAGTTGGTAGCATGTGTTTGCGGATTTGCAAACAGAGTTCATGAGAAGCTGGGCAGTGGTTTTAAGGCGGTTTTTGGAGATTCTTAATATTGCTCCTGGACTCTCTTGGGGTGGAACCATGATTTCCCCTACAGTGGGTGTCCTGCCAAGTCTAGTTGAAGGCCTCCAGCTTTGTCACTTCCAAAGCAACCTGCATTACATCATTACATGATGTCCTGCGCCCGATCAATAGGTTTTTGACGGTTTCGAACCTGTTAATCTTTTAACTCTAGAGCATGTTGGACCAGAGTTGTTTGTTATATAGAAACCGTTTTGGGTCTTGGGGTCAGGGCTTTAGGCAGAAACAGAGAACACATGAAACCCACTAATGGCATCTTAGGGATCTTCAAGCGCTTGCAGCTTGCCTCAGTTCATGGTCGCTTGCTGTGGGACTGATTGCAAGTTTGCCATGCAGAAAACAAACCAGAGAAACTACACCGCTCTAATATCTTGAAGTAGTACCATGACGGTCAATTCATCAGTCGTCCACTGCAATACTCTTGGATGCCTTTTCGGCTGCTGAAATTGGAATCACCGTCAGTGTAACGGTAACGTCCTTGGGATTGGACGTCCTGTAACGGTCACCGTGTAACTTTTGGCGGCTTTCGTCCAACTTGGATCAAGCACTTGGGTGGTTCATCAAGCACGGTATGTGCCGGGATCTTGGGCCTGTGCCAGGAGCAGGAGCAGGAGGGTGACCTTCTGACAGAAACAGGGAAAGTTGTTAGTTTGGAGCTCAGCAGTGGAGACAGATGGGCGGGCGGGGCCAATCAAATCTTGTGTTTGTGCACACAACTGAGAGTCATCCAACGGGGTGTTCCATTGGTCAAGCACCTATTGGACCATATTGGACCTATTGTTGTAGTGTTCCTTTTTGTTGTGGTTGCTGCTATTGTTATTGTTGTTGCTGTTGCCGTTGTTAGTTGCATTCTTCAACATGTTCTCCTGACCCTGTTGCCAAATTCACCCAACTTCCTGTCAGGATTGTCTCCCTCTGCTCGGCTCTCAGGCGACGCCACCAAATTCGTGGGCGGCGCGGCCTTTGGAGGCCCCGGGGGAACCACAGATGGGCCACTTCTGCGGTGGGAGGTGGGCAGATGGATGCTGGGACCTGGCACCTGGCTAGCCAGGTCAGCAACCGGAGCGAGCGGTTGCGGAAAGATGCTGGTCAGTTTGCTTTGATTTGCTGGAATGGTTTGATTTCTGATTTGAATTAATGCATAATATTATGTGGAAAGGAAGAACACAGAGTTTGACTGGAGAAGAGGGATCCAGACATCATGTTCCAGTCCCTGTTTTCAGGCACTAGGCACTTGGCACATCAGCAGTTCCAGAACAACAAACTTAATTGCAGCAACTATATAGTGTCAGCGGCGACATACCAATCAATGTTTGTTCATGTTTGTGGAACAACGCCAAGGAAGGAGAAATCATAGACCTATAAACTATATTACTCCCTAGTCGAGCTTGCCAATATCGGATATTGGTGTTTTTTGGGTCACAGGCACAGGCTGGGGCCAAAACTTCTGCCGTTAGAGTAGTGATCCTGTTAAGGAGGAGATTGGTCACCCGTTCAAGGGCGAGTGACCCAATGACCAAAAAGATGCTGCGTGTTTGGACAGGATATGTTCACAACTGCCATCAAGTTGGATGCAATTTCCTTTGGGTTCAGACTGTTTGGTCAACTTGTCCACAGCTTGAACCAACAAAATATGCTTGATATTCTTGTACACTTTGGTCATTTGCAAATAAATTGAAGGGAATCCCATCAACTTCGACATCATCCATCCACCACACACTCAGGCGTCGGCCTTGTGACCGACACCTTGGGCATCACCAAGAACGCGGAGGCCAAGCCCAGCCGCCGAAGACCGGGGTCCGTCCGGCGGTCGGTCCAACGGTTGGTCAGGCCAAAACGCTTGGTGCTTTTTAAAGGGTTTAGGAGGTCATCCTACTAATTACTAGTCCGCATGCTTTTGCCAAGCTCCGCCACTGACTTAAGTCGGATGGGCACAGGTGAAGTGTCACAATGGAGCGGAGACATACGGTTTTAGAATTTTAGACGCTGAGTCTGCTTATTTTCCAATCCGTGCTTGGACATGAGTCACCGTATAGTTTTAATGTATCCATACATATCCCATATGCTTTTCATCAGGCAAGCAGAGGGGAGGCCTCATCTATTTGGATCCTTTGGCCTGGGGTGACGGTGACGATGTCGCCACACATGGATGTCTAGTGTCCATCTGGCTGCCACCTACAGAAGCCGGAACGCCCTAGGGTTCCCGCCACCAGTTAAATAGGCTTTACCGAAGAACCATTGTTGGTCTATGAAGGCTAAGGGGAATGTGTTGGAAGCTTACGCAGTTGACGCCCTTCGTCCACAACCCGCCCACCTCGTGAAACTCAAAGGCACAGAAGCCACAAAGGCACGGCAGCGTGAGAAAAGTGAGACAAGATGCTTTGAAGAGCATCTTCCAAGTGAGACAATGTCACAGTGCCCACCTTCCAATGTCTTTGTGGATGCATTGTCGATGCAGGAGCATTTGGCGACTGGTGCAGAGGAGGGGCAGTTGGCCTGAGTGTAGCTGTCACGGGACATTGCTTGCTTACATGTTATGCACACAAGTCCCCACTGTTTGCCAGACGTCCACTCCAGTTGGAGAAAGCATCAAGGGCAGAAATGAACAAGAATTGAACTATACTTCAGGCAGACAAAAGTTTACGCTTGTTAGCCTTCTTACAAAACACTCTGAGGTCAGCGGCGGATCGAATTAACAAGTCTAATTTTCGTGGCAGGTGTGGGACGGTCAATTATCACACCCTTTTAAATTTATAGTAATAAAAGGCTTTCCGGGGTGACAAATGACCGCCCACACCTTCCCTTGTCTCATGGTGTGGGATTCTAGGGGGATAGGGTTGTCATGAGTTTCAACATCAAGAAGCGCAACTTTCTTCTGGCCAGTGTATAGCCCGAAAAAAAGGAGTTCATGGACTCGGAGTGTACTTTCATGTCCTTAAAGTGATAGTCAAGATAAGTGCCTCAGATACCTTCAAGCGTTGTTCAAAGTTGTTATTTGTTCAGGAGTTTCCAACCACCAAACACCAGCACCTTCGTCCGCAAACACCCCAGAAACGCATCATGCCGTTCCTTTGGGCGCCTGGGTCCATGCTCCCAGGAGGCCGTGGACCTGGTCGGCCATTCGGTGAACGGTCTGGTGGATGCTGTCGACTACGTCCGGGCGTCTGGTGCGTCCGGTTGATCGTCGAAGGAGTCGAGGAGATGTGGAAGAAGGTGGCACATGCCGCTGGGGTTTGGATCACTCTCGCTGCAGCGCGGAACGATCCATACCAGTTTTTGGCCACACCCATATATAGTTGAAAGATGTGGAAATTCAGTGGCAGAAACTGGAAGTTTGGACAAGGGGTCGGAAGAGTTTGTTCCACATATTTGTGATATCAAATCCACTTACATCCGGTGCTTTGGGCGTGAAAGAGAACCTGGGAGCCCTTGAACACCTCCATGAGCGACACCTGAGGTGGTGTAGAATTTCATCCTTGAACCTGGGAATACAAGATTGAGTTGTAAGCTACAACTCAGGTCGGTTGTTCTTTGCTGCATTCATCAGTAGCTGCCTGCCAGATGAAGTTAGACGGTTAGACGGTTCGACGTTGTTAAGGGCAACTTGCTGAAGAACAAACTGTAGTTGCCTGACTGTTGCCTGAGATGCGGACAGCGTGCTTTTCTTGCTGCAGTCGGGCTTTCACCTTGCGAAACCTCATGGTTTGGAAGGGCATGTGTTGGTACGACCGTGGTCGGTCCTGGGGATGGAACAAATCTACCTCTACCACACAGGTTCCACGGGATGTGACAATGGTGAAGAGTGTAGGATTTGTCAAACATCCGGCGGGTGGGCTGCTCCAAACTCGACACTGCAACACCGGAGAAGAACCTTCATCACTAATTATACTTGAAAGTAGAGGCCTTTCGACCCCATCTGCAGGGTGGAGGCCAGGGTTCCTGCGTCCCTGACCAGATTTCAAGAATCAACGGTTGGACCAGGGTCTGTATCCACTGCCATGAACTACACTTTCGAAAAAGAGGTGGCACAATCATGCGAGTCCTCCGTTGGTTTCATGAGGACGGAGGCGCCCGGTTCCACTGGTCGCCCCCCTGCGCTGCTGTTCGCTTCGCCGTGCAGCCTGTCCCACTTGCACCGCTCAGGGCTTGGATGGCACCGCTCACGACCTGAAACGAAAAGGCGGCGAAACGGATGGATGTTCCGGTCGAAAAAACCCGGTGTGTGGGAAAGGCGCAGGCGTTCAATTTCTCATTCCAAAACTGGCAACGTTAAGAGGGCCAAGTCGTTTGTTGCGACTTGTTTGAGTCTATACTGATACAGCTGAGGAGTGACCAAAGATGATGTGGACTGTTAAGAAATGTATTATGGTCCATTTTGTTACTGGTTGTGATGTTCTTTTGTGGGAAATACCAATTTTCCGGTCACCGATGTAAAGGGCTAAGCCGCTACCGCCGGAGCCCCGGCAGGTGTGGTGGGAGCCGTCGGTGACGGCGTGGCGGATGCTGCTCGGGGATCCCAGTGACGGATCGAGCAGCTCGTGGCCACGTTGAGCGAAAAAGGGACGTGGGATTGTGATGAACATCCCCAAACTTTTGGTCTCCCAGTGGCTATGTGTGGCATTGTGGTTCACATCTCCGATCATCTCTTGCGTGAACCACGCTGTTGGTTCGCTTTTCGAGAAGCAGTCGACTTCCAAAAGCAGCGTTGGGATGCAATGGGTATGATGAAATTATGACATGATGATTTTCATCGAAGTCACACATGCATGTAGGACTGTGCGACGGACCACTTCTGGGTCGAAGACCTGCTTTTTTAAAAATATCCACTGCAAAGGCCAATGAAAAGGGACAGGTCCAGAACGATTCCCAGATTCCCAGCGGATTCCGCACCGAACTTCCTTGGACCCACCGACCAACTTCCGCCGCAGCCGAACATCCTTTCGGCCCCCCGGCGGCGTCCGCCGGAACCGCGGCCGCGGCGGAACCGCGCCATGCTTCGGCCACCGGGCGGACACAGGGTCGACCCGGGGGTGGGGGGGTCGACCGCCCCCGAACGTGGGGGTGGATTCGAAGCCGGTGGAGCTGGAAGGGTAATTGAAACAGAGCTCTCGCTTTGGTGGTGGAAGGCAACTCGAAGAATCCCATGGAAAATCATCGAAGCCAGAAATACGCACCGTTTGCCGCAGGTATTCTTGCTGTGAGATGGGGCGAGCATGAGCACTCGTGATTGGGATTGTAGGGACAAGCACTCTAATCGTGCATCCTCAAGCCATACATCACCGCCCTTCAGCCTTTTTCCTTTCTCTTATGATGTTCACGCCATTTTCCTTGATTCTAGTTTGTCCCATTGACGGTCCAGCATCTTCGCTGCCCTCTCATGCCGAACCTTGGGTTCGGACATCTTCCGGCGGAACCCACCGAAGCGTTCCACGTTTCACCTCAACTCGCTGAGGTACAGAACCCTACTCGTGCCCCTCATGCTTGCAGCTGCGTGCGAGGACTATGAGGAGGAGAGCATGCAGGCCCTCCTCGACTCGCGAGAGACACCCGAGTGTTTGGAAAGATTGGCCAGAACATGCCAGAACTGTAGGATTCAGGATGCATTACATGTAGAGATTTGAGCCAAGAGTTCGGAGGAGCGGGTTGTAGTACAGGATTCTAGACTTTGTCACTTGGCCAGGGCGCTGATTTGGGTCTCAAGAGAGGTGCCAACGGCACCTCAGTCTATACAGATGCACCTGCTTTGAAAAGCGTAAGGCATTTACAGTATGTTCCGGCTCAGCTCAAACGACCAACGTGCAACGAACGACGCTTGCCGTGCACTCTTTACTGCCCCGGTGCAGTGCATGTTCGCACGAGTTCGGCCTCGGTGCGATGACTGGAGCACTGCACAGCATCGGTGCGTCCGGCGATGCGAAACAAACGATCCATAGGAAATGAACAAAGAAATTGACAAACAAACCAAGCACATTAGACAGGGGAACCAATAACCCCTCACATGATAAGGCTTTGCCCTCAAAATACAATTTATGTAAGAGGAACAACTATATACTTCTTTGCTTCTTGAGTGAGTGCAATTTCATTTTGAATCTCGTCCCCCATCGCTGGTGCAGGTCATGCTGATCCAATCCAAGCTCAGACTGCATAGCGCTGCACAGGCCAATCTGAGCCCCTTGGGATGGTCGGGCGCGCGAGGTGGTACCGCGGGCCGGGGGTGGTCGGCTGGTCGACCGAGAACACCATCGGACCCACCGGACTAAGCGTGAAAAGAGTGGACGACATGTGGCCCACCAAAGGGCTGTGTTTTCTGTTGTTTTTTTGTCAAGGTTTGTTTGGCGTCCATATCGCAGAGGGTCTGTTTAAACTGTTTGGTGGTTTCCCAAGGATTCCCTTAAAACTCTCAGAGGTCAGCAAAGCGTTTAGCACGGTGTCGGCTTGAAGGTGTCGGGTTGATGGAGATCATTAATATATATATATATATATACCATGGGCGCCTTTCTTGTGTCTTGGTTCCTGATCTTGGAGACTTCTCAAGTCCAACCCATCGGTTTCCTGCTCCTGGACGTCTCCTATTACATTCGTCATGTCCCAAAATGCGATGACTCCGCGATGGTAATCGCTCAGGTAGCGTGTCAAGCTTCTTGATGGGCGTTGACGCTCTGGAACGCCGAGTGCAGGCGTTGTCCGACCAAGTTGCAGGGATGGAGAAGCGGAGATCTGGCACTCCGTGGCAGCTTGCCGAAAGGGAGATCCATATAGTTTCATATAGTGTTTTTTTTCCATATGTTTTTCTCCATGTTTGGGGTTGTGGGATGCCATGTTTCTGTTTGGTAGTGGAAGCACAGACGGCATGTCAGATCACCTTGACACAGAACGCAAGCGACGCAAGAAACCATCCACCATCCAATCTACTCACTATAGATGGGACTCACACCATTGGCTCACTTAAGTAGTTGTCAGCAGGCTCACAAGCCCCAACATCCGGCCAAAAAGAAACTAAGATAGCCTCTCTATTGTTCGACCAGACACTGACGTTCCTTCACTGGCTCCACTTTTTGAGAGCACTAGGTTCAGTGGTATGGAAAACAACTGGGACCGTAGCAAGCTGTAGGCCGTCGTCATCACACAATATCACACATATTGACATGCAAAATCCCAAATCCAACCAGACACACTCTCACTGGTGGTGAACTCAAGAAGCCACAGCAAGTCACGAATCCACCCAGTCCTCAAAGCCTCTCTCAGGCTGTTTCTGCCGTTGGAGGCGGTGTTCAGTTTGGATCCATGGCGCATGAGAGGGGAAACCAAGGTGTTGATGTGTTCGGATTGGGCACCCCCTGTCAGGGTGATCTTCATCAGTTTTAGCGATTTGAGCAGACTTCTGTAAACCTGCAAGCAGTTTAACATGTGACTTTGTTGAAGAAACATGGAATCGAGCTATGCGATTGAAACTGCCAGAAGTCGTTGCCAAGGGGATGTTTCTCTATCAGGTCGTCAGGATTGTTCTACCAGTTTCTAAGTAATTATGTCTATCTTTGGAAGGAACGCCATGTTTTTACGGAAGTTTGCAGCGGCAACTCGTTTGTCTTTTGCAAAGGCCGTGATGCTTTACATTAGTGCTTTGAAGCCTGCTTCCTCTCCATGGATCTTGAACAGTTCTGGGACAAACCCTAGGAGCTCCAATCCTGAACAGGTCCTTCACCAGATGAGACAGATGCTTTTTGGCTGTACGTTTACATGTTTAGGCACGTTCAACTGGCTGACTCTTGCCGTGTATAAAGTCCGCGAGATGAGCAAACTTGCACCAGTGTGCCAGTGGTTCAATGTGCCAGTGTGCCAGGAAAGGGAGCTGAATCTCATTGAATGACCTGGAGCCTGACCCGTCCACCGAAAAAACGACACCAGGTCTCTTCCACCTCGTTTGGACCTTGTTTGGACCTGGTTCCCCACAGCGAAATCACCGAGCCACCGCTCCGGCGGAGTCTCTGGCGGGGTCGCTTCGTCACCCAGCGAGGTCCTTCCCACCCGCGCGGGACAGACGGGTCGCTTGGGGGTCACTCCAGTCAGGACTGCTGCGGTGTTCTGAACATCCACATTCTCCGAGGTTCGGAAGCTCGGAGACTTCGTGGGAGATTTGGTGCTTCATCCGCATGCGCATGCTTGGCAGCAGCTTCTGGTCTTTGCTGCTTGCACAGCAGGCGAGACCGAGGACGAAGATGCGACGAATTCGTCGTCCGAGGTTTTCCAGTCATCGACTTACTGTCGGTGTTGGTCAAATCGTTGCACCTGCCAGGACACGGTGCTGCGTGCAGGATTTTGTAGTAGAAGTGTGATGGTACAAGTAGAGGCTCAACGTTCGAACAATATTAAACTTTATAGGAGTACTTAGCAGCAGCAGTAGTAACTATAGTTATGTGTAATAGCAATAGCAGTAGGATAAGTTGTCAACTTTATTTATGAGTTGAACGGATGTCATTGCAGTTCTTCCGCCTGGGCTTGTCAGCTTGGGTGCCATCTACTGCATCGCTTATTGAGACTTGCCATAGAAGGCAGACTTATTTTGGGTGCTTGTTGTCTGGTTCAGTGTCCTCAAATACTGACACGCAGGTACCAGGAACACACGTTTCTGCGGAACACCCGCGGTGAAACATGGTCTTTCCTGCGCCGGAAAACGGCACAAACCATTGGAGCATCTCGGTTCAAGGGCCAGACGGTCCGGCCGGAAAAAGAGATAAGATGGGCTCTGCCGCAGGGGTCCCCCTCAAACCACGGGCCATGGTGCAGAAGCCATGTGCAGCCATGGACGTGGAGGTGGATGACCCGCAGGAGTTCATGCAGCACTTGCTCCAGGAAATTCCCATGAATCATTCCATCCGGAGCTCCGACAGCTTTGGAAGAGACCATGAGGCTTGGAAGAATGGACGTGCGGTGTGCCAAGAATGGAGGCACATTCCTTTGAATCAAGAGATTCTGAAGGCTCGTCGATTTTCCACAATTGTAACACCGAACCCCTATCGCCATACACTAATACTCGTAGCACATAATAGCACCCATTTTCGACAGAATGACAATCTGAGAATATCTGATACTGTAGCAACTAGCAGGTAGCGACAGCGAAGCAGGTAGCCACAGTTGGTGGGTTTTTGACTTCTATCCAAGCGACGACGGCAGGTGACCACGGCGACCTCGAAAGGATCATACCCTGAAAATGGGGATGACACCACAACGGTGTTTGGAGTAACCTTCAAACAGTTTGCATGGACTCTGATCATCGATTGTCACCAATGTCTTCCTGTGAAGTACTTCCATCTCCAGTCTGAGTGGAGATTTCTGCTTCCAGATCTTGTGTTGCTAAATTGCCATCGCCAGGCTCCTCCAGAACATTGTCTTCCATTTCGGGCGCAACGAATTGCTGCCTACACCGCCGATGAATGGAAAGAGCGCTTTGGTCATTTACACATTTGGGCGCCCGGGCTGAAGATCTTATTCGTGTCGGCTTGGTCACCATAATGATATCCTAGAAACAATACATATCAGCGCAACAAGATAGAAGCATTCATGGAGATATACTGAGATATATGGAGATGCATGCTTCGAAGTTGTGTAACAATATAATATTATATAATAACTATAATATGTTCATGAGATTCACCAATTCTGGATCCCTGGTCTTCCGGACACCTGTCCAGACCCCGAAAACGACCCACGGCATTGCAGGAGCATTGCATTACGGTCGTGTGGAGACGTGTCGAGAAATCGTCTTGTCCGACTTCCCACCATGTCATGTGTTACACCTGGACCATACAGAACAAAGACAACCATGGACCATAGATGGCGGTTTGTTAAAGGTGCATCCAACGGTGTAACACCGATCCATGGAGCACTGGCACGGTGCTCCATGTGGATCCATCTGGCTGAAAACGAATCGAACTCGGACATCCAGGTAATTGAACAGAGGGGTCCTTGGTCGAAGACCGTCATCCATGGACCATGCCAATGGTGTCACCGTGCGTTGTTTTCCTCGATGACACCAGGTGTCTCACCGGGGAGCTGAGGAATCCCATGCAGGAAACCTGCGATGAAGCTTCTGAGCACAGCTTGACCTCCGGGGCGGTTTGAGTGAAAGTGCTCAAAACATGCAGGCCAGTCTGAAGCAGTTCTGACTTCCTGCACTCGAGTCAAGGGTCTTTGATAGCAGCACAAGGACCTTGAAGAGATTTGAAGACTTGCCAAACAGAAGGACCTCAACTTGTCCTGTTGACCAGTCACAGCTCAAGTGTGAGTCCTCTCGTCATGCAAGGTGCGACCGACTGAGCTCTTGTTGAAGGAAGAAGACTTGAAAAGTCCAGCCTCATTTGAAATGCAATATCCATGTGCATATAATTGTATAAATTGTATAATACATATGTATATATACACACTCTGTATATGTTGGCTTTAACTGCTAAGCGCCTATAGGCTACGTATAGACTTCGGTGTTGTTCCGGGGTAGTCCAGAACCAGGTAAGTATTGACATGGAACATCGCGGAAATTGATCTTGAAGGGTTTGCTTGTCTTCCTTCAGCATGAAGCTTGACTCGGTTACTTTACCAATCATTCTTCAAAGTTTCTCGCCCTCTCTTCCTGAGTGGGGTGTACCTGAGCTATTGCACGCTTTTGCTGAAGGGAGAAATCCCACCCCAGCACAAATGGACACACAGATCCCCAGCTTTGAGGCATGCTTTGGGTAGTCAAAGACCGGGTGCCAGATTTCTTCCGACATCTGTTGGACATCCTTCAGCATGGCCAAATAGCTCTGATCTACAATTATGCGTTGAAAGTACTTCCTTGCTCCTCTCCTCATGCTGTGGGGAGAGGCGAAGGCGTTGCGCCCACAGCCCACCGATGATGGGTAGTGGGTACAGTGGGTGGCCACCTGCTGGATGGAAGCATGTCAGCATGTTCTTGGGAGTCTACCGAATTCTTTTTGTTTGCTCCCACTCTGGCTCCGGTGATTTAATGGATCATGAAGATTCACAGCTGCATGAGCTTGTTTCATCTTGTTTCTCATTTTGCTTCAGTCCAGGCTGATGTCCATCCAGATGATTTTCATGTTGAGACTTCGGTCATGTCACGAAAGGAACCGGTGAAGAGTTGGAGACTATTTTGTATACGAATCCACTTGCTGTTCAGAATGATCTGAGAGTGAACGACTTGCACTGCTGTTATACCATGCTGTCAGTGCCGTTCCGCCAGCTCTACCACCACTTCTTCCAAAGAAACTGCGACGACATCTCGCAGTTGCCTTTTGTGTCCATGCACTGATTCAACCCCACCACCCTTCAAGGTAACCAAGAGCAAAACCGTTACAAGATGTCCTGTGACTGGTGTCGATGATGTTTGTTGTCAAGCACGTGTTTCGTTTGATTGTCATTGTTCTTTCATCAAACAAGTTGTTGATTTGCTTTGATTTGTACTGTCTCAGTATTTGCATTTGCATTTGCAACATCCATGCAAATGCCAGATACTGCAGTTGCGACCTCTATCAAAACTGGTTGAGCAGCACAATGACACCAGGCACAATGGTATCAACCCTTGATAAGTCGGCTGGCACAAAGAGCCAAGCATCATAGCCACTCGGCTATTTTGAGTTAACAAGGGATCTTTCGCTGTATTTCAATGGCATCTATCAAAGCCTGCCCAGCGGGGTCAACTGATTGTTGGAATGTCTGACGGTTTGAGTGAAAGTGCTCAAAACATGCAGGCCAGTCTGAAGCAGTTCTGACTTCCTGCACTCGAGTCAAGGGTCCTTGATGTAGCAATGTAGCACAAAGATCTTCAATACATTTGAAGACATACCAAACAGAAGGATCTCAACTTGTCCTGTTGAGGATCAGTCAGAAGACTTAAGAAGTCCAGCCTCATTTGAGATGCAGCAAATAATAGCAAATTAATACATTGTATGTTGGCTCTAAGCCTTAAGCAGCTATAAGCTATAGCCTTTGTGGTCGTAGTGCGGAACCAGGTAAGTACTGCCTTGGTATACCTTAGCAATAGATCTTGGATCATTGAAGCGTTTGCTGGGTTTCCTTCAGCATTAAGTTTGACTTGGTCACTTTACCAATCATTCTTCAACGTTTCTCGCTCCTCTTTTCCTGAGTGGGGTGTACCTGAGCTGTTGGGCGCTTTTGCTGAAGCGAGAAATCGCACCCCAGCACACATATATAGACATACAGATTCCTGGCGTTTGCTCATTTACAGCTGTGAGGTATGTTTTGAGTAGTCAAAAACCGGGTGCCAGATTTCTTCCAACATCTATTGGACATCCTTCAGCACGGCCAATAGCTCTGATCTACAATTATGCGTTGAAAGTACTTCCTTGCTCCTCTCCTCATGCTGTAGGGGCGAGGCGAAGGCGTTGCGCCCACAGCCCACCGATGATGGGTAGTGGGTACAGTGGGTGGCCACCTGCTGGATGGAAGCATGTCAGCATGTTCTTGGGAGTCTACCGAATTCTTTTTGTTTGCTCCCACTCTGGCTCCGGTGATTTAATGGATCATGAAGATTCACAGCTGCATGAGCTTGTTTCATCTTGTTTCTCATTGTGCTTCAGTCCAGGCTGATGTCCATCCAGATGATTTTCATGTTGAGACTTCGGTCATGTCACGAAAGGAACCGGTGAAGAGTTGGAGACTATTTTGTATACGAATCCACTTGCTGTTCAGAATGATCTGAGAGTGAACGACTTGCACTGCTGTTATACCATGCTGTCAGTGCTGTTCCGCCAGCTCTACCACCACTTCTTCCAAAGAAACTGCGACGACATCTCGCAGTTGCCTTTCGTGCCTGCTGAGGTGCACCGGAAGGTAGTCACCTGAACACAGAAGTCTCCAACACAGCACCCCTCCAAGAAGTTGGGCGTCCGCCAGTGGGCTTTCCTTAACATCATGTACTTGGCAATATCAGGACTTGTTTGTTGCCCGGAAGTTGTCCAATCCGCATGTAGAATTTGTATGTGGTGTACCTGCTCTGTGGAATCGCAGATCAGGTGCAGTTGCTCATGTCCTCCCACGGCAAGCGACCCTGTTACCTCATATTGACATTTCATTTTTGAGAAAGTAAAGAACCCCTGTGCGGACCTCGTGTGTAGTCACGTAGTCTTCGCATGTCATTTGTTTCCTCAACACAACTGATTCACTCGGAAGGATCGCTTTAGTGCCAAGGTTCTGCATGACATCACCAGCTGAAGTTCAACTAGGTCTGTACTGCGCCCCGTCACCAGGCGACAACAAGCCCCGTAGCAGAACAAGCGAACCTAGGCGAACCTAAGCTTTGTTCACCTGAAAGGGGAACCGTCCGGGAATCTGTATGATTTATGGATGAAAAGCTACAAAGGACATCATTCTATAGCATTCTATAGCCAAAGAACTTGGTAGAACAAAAGGCAGCGGGGCTCTTTACTACCTCATGGGTATCGCACCATGTGCCAGCCACGGGTTGCTGAGTGTGCCCAAACACAAAAGGTTGACGTGAACGGATGTCAAAAGGCTCATCTTGCAGCTCTGGACTGTATCGACACAAGGAGAAACCTCTTACTTGGCTCAGTCTTCCTATCTGAAGGGCCTCAATTTCCTGCAGTGTCATACGCTTTCTTTGCGTCACCTACACCCAAAGAATTTGTGCATGTGGCAGGATAACGTCTGAAATTGGATACCCACTGATGACTGATGGTCCATCAACAGAGATTCCTCAGAAAACCCAATCCACAGAAGCTCTCAATCCAACTGTCCAAAACTGGGGTAGGATCTGTTCAACAGCATTGTAGCATACCTTGGGCCAGTCACAGCTGCCTCGAACACCGTGCGAACACGGGCCGATGACGCACAACTTTGCAGCTTACCCGGAAGGGATTCTTTGTTTAAAGATCATGTCATTCTACAAACATGTCTTGGAATCAGCTCCTATCGGAATTCTACCCATATACTTGGGGTCTCCATTCCCACGCGAGCTTGGTCAAAACCTGGGGCCTTGGTCCACCATGTAGCTTGACCTTCCAGGTAGGTCAACCAATTAGTCTCCCCCCTTCACAGTACTACCACGTTCGAAACTTCCTACGTCAGGCTTACAACAAAGGTCATGACTTGAATACTGTCATGGTGCCGAGGGTTCCTGAACTATATAATCCAAATTAGATGCCGATGTTTCTTGAGATCTTCTGCTGTGTTTACATTGTGTGCCTTGCATGGATATTCGGTTTCACTTAGATCTGTTTGTCCATCGGCCTAGTGGGATTTCTACCAACACTCCCAGGCACCGGGCACCTTTGGGGGCTGAAGGGACGCTGCACGGACGCTACGCGTGCGCCAAAGATCCGACCGGTAGGGTCAACCGGTCGGTCTCCCGGTGCCAGCGACCCCCACAGCCATAGTCGGTTCGTCTACAGACGAAGGACCTCGAAGCGACTCTCCACACGTGGCGGACCACGTGGCGAAGCGACGGAGACGACGCGACGGAGACGACGCCAGGTGTGATTGCAGCGGGAATGTCTTTGAAGTCACCACGCTGGTGCGACCACATGGGAGGAAAGCTGCCAGCCTTCGTGTTTGCTGTGGCTGTAGGAGCCTTGGGGAGCAATGAGTGGGAGCTGGCGTGGGCGTGGGATGGACATCCTTTTTCTTTTGGAATTCCGGTGTTCTGTTTAAAGTTTAAAATCTCAAAATTAGGACCGCGGAGAGTTTTATATAAGATGTTATATATGTTGATCATCCAAGTAAGGGGTTCCGCTTATCAATCAACTGTCAACAGTACTGGATTTTATGGATGTACTCAGATGGGTCGACCCTAACTATGCATCCAACTGCTATCAGCTGCTCAGCTGTTTGAGATTTGTGTACCCCGAACAGGCGACCTAGTGAACAAGCAACCGGACAACGAAGGACAATTGTGTTCAACAAGGTGTCTTCCATGTGTACTGCCCGGTGAGTTGCTGTTGATGGAAGAAAGACACACCCAGCACCACAACGGATGATGTGAGGCTCACAAATAGGGCCCACTTTTGCAGTGGACAATTTGACTAAAACGCGTGGGTCCCTGGGTTCTTCATTTTTGAGCCAAGCTTAATACCCTGGAAAACACCGCACATCGTCGTTGTCTTTGGGTTTCCCTCGCCACCCGTTTGTACTGGAAAATGGGTCTTCCAAGGATTTCCAGGGGGGCATTCCCCGCTTCCATGGAAATTGAGTCCGAGTGTAATTCAGTATTTGTGCAGGATGTCCAATCAAAGATAATCAAAGAGTCAACGAGTCCATTGGGGTTAAGAATATAAGGAAGCACAAGGAAGGAAGCCGGAGGAATCAATTTGTTGCACTCAGCAAAACCACCCATTTCGATGCACAATCGAAAGAGTCTGACTCCTCAGCGACGCTGCCAAGTGACCTGAGGAGTTTCAGCTTTGGCCATTGTCGGGTCGATTTGTCATCCAGTGATTCCTTGGATGCTCATAGGCCTTCTCTTTTTCATGGTGCGGTCTCCTCCGAACAAGGGGTGAAGATGGTTTTTGAGTGAGAGTGTTGGACAAATGCCCATAATAAATCCCGATGATCAATCCCTTACTGGCAACCAGACTGTCTTCCATAACTTGTGCCTGTCAGCATCTGCATGCAACTGCTTACTTGGTTGCCATCGACTTGCCAATTGTTTGAGACTAGACAGACCACTTGAAGGCCTTTCGTGAACTACATTTTATTGTTAGAGTTAGTGCTCTTTTATCACACGCATCCATTTGCCTAAATGTTGGCAACACAACTCACTTTGTAGTCAAATGTGCTGAGCACGCCCTTTGTTGGAGGTTCGGCTGTTTTAAGGAAGGCACTTCAGACAGCCAAACTAATCTGAACACAGTGACGGGTTCAGATGAATGAATAAATTATGTTGCTCGCACTGCACAGATGCACAAAACTCAGTGCGCCAAGCCAGGCAGCAAAGCAGCGTCAGACGGTCTCGGTCTTTGTGTTACTGTAACACATTTTCAAAGAAGAAGCATCTCAGAGGTGAGTGAGAATCGAGACCAGAGGCGCCACAGTATTGCTTCCAATATGTTCAAAGGACACAGCCTCAATTGAAATTAGAAGGTACAGCCTCAATTGCGTTCATATAGGAAAAGCTTGTCTTCAATGCATACAGATGCCAACACTGAGACCGTTTCCATGTGTCACAGACAAAGACGCATACCTGGCGACATCTGGCGACCAAAAAGCCTGCAATGGAAATGCCCTTCATGAGCCGGCAACGGGGACTAGGGCCGGGGAACCGTCCAGAAGGTACAAATTAGTTTTGTGGCCAACGTTGAAAAGCCTAGCAATGAAGCGGAGATTCAGCTTAACAAGAAGATTTTATCCATCAAATCTTTAAAGACTAAGATCTAGTCAATCAACATCTGTCACCGAACTGCTTGGAACTTCTTTGTGCTTCTTGCAGTCGAAATAAACCGAACTGCATGGCCCGTCCACCTGTCTCGGGTGCTGGGTCGCTCGGTCGCCGGTCGGCTGTCCTTGCGGCAACCCCTCGAGGGTCGATGAGACGGTCAGACCACTGGGAGAAGGTCCCCACCGGAACGGACCAGGGACGGGTACTGCAAGAGATAGTCCCCTGTGTCCTAAGGACCATAGCAACTATATATTACAGCAATTCAATATAGATACGTTATAAATAAAAGTGTATATAAAAGTGTGTATACAACCACTTTTTGTCGCCACCTTGAAGGACTCGAACCAATGTGGAATCTCACCCACTCCGCATCCTGTGACAAACGACATGAATGAAGATTGTCTCGATGCGATGTACCCCATAGCATCCCATCCATGCCATGGTTTCACTTCAATTATATACATCCTTTTGAATCTGTACAGAAGGCGTGTACACTTGATTGAATCGCTCCATCGGGTCTCAAGTCGTAAACATCTTTCTATATCCCATCCACCCGAACTGACACTCGCAAAAGCAACTGAGTTCCTTAAAGTTTATTCTTCTCTTTTCTTCACATCAAGAAAAAGACCTCAAGACCCCTGGTGACCACCCTCACGTCATCCGTCACCGTCACGTCTCCGGTTCCACCTTCACGTCTCGTCCGTCCCAGGTGGACATCGTCTCGGACTTCGTGAGCGACACGGTGACCGGCATCGCGGACGGCGTCCACGGGATGCTGAACTTCGCCCCTCGGAGCCCGGCGAGCGACGGCTCAGTTCGGGTTCGGAGGGCGGAAAGCGATGGCGGGCGATGGATGGGAAAGAACCGAACAGAGACGGGGTGCGGTAAGAACCTTTGGGTCTCACAAAGGGAGTGTTTTACTAATTACAATACATTGTGTTTACCATATATATTGTAATTACACCTGAATGTTCACCTCTTTGTCTCAACACATCCTGAGACCCGGTCCATGTGTGTTGGGACGCCTTCACTGGGACCGGACCACTCAGGCCACTGGCACGGAGGACACGGCGGCGGCGCCGGAGTCGCACCTGGCGACTCGGTTTCCCTTTGGGCGATATGATAGGGTATGTTAGAGGGTTCATAGGGTTCGTGTTCATAGGGTATGGTATGTTCATGGGATTTCATAGGTATGTTCAACTATTTGGGCTGGTATGTTGATAGGGTTTCCAAACCCGACCCCGGCCCGTGGGTGGCATTTTGGCTCATTGCATGGGTTCACTGTTTCCCCAAATATGGGATAGGCCAAAGGGGTGGCGCGAAACGGGTTCAATCCAAAAGGGCTAAGCAGCGCCATGGAACCAAGCAGCACCTCATGTTGGTTGCCACAAGGCAACATCTGGAGATCACTCGTGTTAAAACGAGCCCTTTCAGGGATCCATCGTCCAATTCCTTGGTATCCTGTAGTTAGTATCTGCTGTAACAACCTGACAGAGCATAAGACTTGTATGACATGTTGGGCTGCCTGATAGCAAGACACATTTGTTTAACATCCAATTTGGACCAATTCATTTGGACCATTTCCGGGACTGGAACGCCCTATTGGCCAGACAGCTCAAATGACTGGCCGCCTCAGCAGGTGCTCCAGCTGACATCAAAATCTCAAAGACCTTGGTGGTGAGCGCGTTCTTTCGGTCGCCACGCCGCGTTGCCTCCCGCTTTGGTGCCCTTTCAGGGCCACTGCTTCGTCCGTCGCGCCAGCTAAGCACGTGGCGCATCGAGGTGAAGATCGTGATCGCCGAGTTGATCGGTGCAGAGAGGCGGACGGGATTTTCGAGAGACGGAAACGCCGAGAAGTTCAGCGGAGAAACACGGAATGTCAGGCAGGACAACGTTTGATCAACGCATGACTTTGGTTTTCATGTGATGGCAATGGCCACGTCCGGCAGTTCACATGTTTTTGGTGGTTAAAATCAAGGTGACCTAACCAGTGAGGATTAAACCCTGGATGATGATTTGGGCACTATGTTCCGATGCATTGATGGGCATTTGTTTGGAACCCTGTGGATGGAAGACTTGTTGAAATCCAAGTGAGATGTATCAGGAAATATCCAGGAATAATCAGATGCTGGGAACGATATGTTTTGCTCATAATTGGACCATTCACTGGCTTTGATGTGCACTACGGACATTTCACATGGACTTGGAAACTTCAACAACCAGAAACAAAGAGCTGTTCCGATATGGCAATTAAGACCCTTTACATACAATTTGGTTGTTTGGGAAACACATTCGTGTGTTTTCTGGTGGTTTGGGTTTTTGTTTGTGGACACGAATTGAGACGATGCACCTACAAGTGTTGGTGAAAGCAAGAAGTGATATGTGTGATATTACCATATTGTATATACAGCACATTGCTTTGGGCACAAAGGTACGTTGGTTGCACAAGAAAAACTTATCACAAAATCCCCCACCTGTCAGGTGAGGGATATTAGATATTTGTAGATAACCAACAAAGCACAACCACAATAATCAAACACAAATCACAACCGCAAACGCACAATCACAAACACAACCACAAACGCACTTACAAACACACAATCACAAACACACAACCACAAGCACACAATCACAAACACAACCACAAAGACCACACGAGCACAATCACAGCCACACAACCACAAACAAACAAACAAACAAACAAACAAAAAACAAACAAACAAACAAACAAACACACAGTCGCAAACACAATCACAAACACACAACGGCAAGCACACAATCACAAACACAACCAGACAACCACAAACGCAACCACAAACACACAACCACAGCACACAACCACGACCGCAAACACAACCACAACGACAAACCACAAACACACAAACCACAAACACAAGCACAACCACAAACACACAACTACATCAATATAACTACCTTTGTGTGTGGCATTTTGCGTGGCAGGTGGTCACAGGGTAGCACTTTTGGATGCTAACTGGAAGCCCTGGCGACACCCCGACACGAACTCCCCGGCACTACTACAGTAAAAAACCTTCCCCAAGCCCGAGGACCCACAAGCAAAATCAAACACCAACCGCTCACGACCATTGATTGAGGTGTCATGGTGGCGATCGCTCGAAGTAACCTAATTGTGATTGTGCCTGTACCTGTCTGTTTGACAAGACTCACTAAAACCCTGCGGTCATAACATTGGATTCGCATCCCAACAGGGTGCAGTATTTGCGGGTTTTCGTGTTGATAGAAATCTCAGGCTTTATACACTCACAACTATCTATGCTGTAGCAGTAGTAATACAGATCCAATTTGTCTATTATCCTAAAGGATCACCTGCGTCCTGGGTCCAGTCTTTCACTGGTAATTAGCTAGTTCTACAAGAAATATCCAGAAATCAAGAAGACAATGCAGCAAACTGCGGCCAAACTCTGTTCCATCTCCAAACTCTCCATGAGCAAGACCGTTCCAGCGGACCGTTGGTCGTTCCAAGGACCTTGGGTCTCCGCATTGAGAATCGCTTGATCACTGCCTTCACCAAGCCGGAGGCGGCCGTGAAAGACAACCGTCAGCCGACAGACCTGGAGGAAGCGGAGGATTTCTAGATAGACGAAAAAGAGATGAACAAAGAACCAAGGATGGTGCTTGGTCCTTCAAAATCTTCAAATGTGGCCTTACCTTCCAGGATTTTTAACCTATGTTGTTTCTTTATATGTATATATACTTCCCTTCGAAGTTTTGTCGGCCATGATGATGTTTGGGTGACAGTACCTGAGTTTCCGCAGACAGGATGTGGCACACCGGACCCCATGCCTACAAACCAGATCAAATGCCGGAGGATATGCCAGATAAAGTGCCTGCCAGTATGCCAGGCAATTTGCCAGAATATAGGCTGGACATATGCCACATCAAATCCCAGGAGCAAATTTGTCAGATAATGTGTTAGATTTATACCAGGTTGTATGCGCCAGGTAATACGTAAAAATGTGTGTCAGGTAGTATGCCAGTAGATATGCCAAGCACGGTGTCATGGTTGATATGATTTAAAACAGAAAAAAACAGATAATTGTCCCGACATCATATGGTTTGTAGTAGTTCATGTGCCAGATGCCATGTGAAAATAACATATTGTGCCAGATCATATGTCATCAAATATGTGAGTAAATATTGTTTTTGTTTAATGTCAATGCACACGTCAGAACATGCGCCAAAGGTCAGAGTATAAATCGGAATCCGATACAATTTCCCACATCAACTTCCAATACAACCTTTAGCGTACATATTTGCCAGCTCGAATGTCAGGCAGTATGTCAGGTCATTTGTCAGGGATAGTCTGTCAGTATGTCCCACCTCAGGTTGCCGCGGGTTGCCGCGCAGAAGGACCAAATGTGTCCGTATGTAGAGGTTCCTGATAGAAGGTTTCATTTTGGCGGCAGCGACCAGTTGAAGCGACCAGTTGAGGGTCGAAATCTTTCGGCTTGGCAGCAGGGGAATGTCTCAATCAGAGTACATGACCCATGCCTTCGCATGGCCAGCGGCACCGACGAGGAACAGTCAATTTTCGTCAGTGGGTTCAGGGTCCTTTCAGGTTGAAACAAGCCCCAAGTCACCCACGTTACCTATGTCGTCAAGATGGTTCCGGGCCGGGTCAGAAATCCGAGTCAACAGCAGCTCAACAATCCGCCTTTGCGGATAAGTCATTTTGGCCGGAGGGCTCATTCACTTACATTCATATATACCTGTGTACATCTGTGTACCTTCATAGTGGTTCATCGGAACAAACAACGGACAAGGCAGGGGCCTTCCTGTGACAACCACCCACTGGCCTACCAAGCTGCTATGACCAACATAACATCTATGTTTGCATGGAGTTTGAGTTCTTCGGCGTCATGGGTCAAATGCCTCAGGTGTTGAGCCTCAGGTCGCTCAGTGGTGTGCACCCGATGTTCCAACCACGCTCAACCGGCCGCGGCGACCAGCCGTGGCAGGCTGCGCGCTTCGGCTGGCGATTAGGAGATTGCATCCAGGCGGACCGCAGCTGGACCGGTCATTGGGGTTTTCTCAGAGGGGCTGGAAACAGGAGAAAGACATAGGAAGACTCCTGTTGGAGGGTTTGGCGCTTGCTGGCGCTTGCCGCTTTCTTGTGGCTGCTCTGTCAACTGGTGTGTGCAACATGTGACATGCCTGAATATGTCTGACGTCGACGTCCAAGAGGCCATAACAGGCCCACTCCCCTCCTTCACGTCACCAGGCTGTGGGGCGACAACGCACGCCAACGCAGGCACCGATTCCACCGAGCGAGTTCGCCCCGCATGTCGGCGAGTTCCCACGCGGTAGGGAAGATCGATTCTGTGTGGTTTTTGTTGTAGAAAAGGTGATTTGTGACATGGGTCTCGTGTGTTTTCCACATTGGGCAATCTGTTCCATGTATCTCATTCCGGCCGTAAGGGCTCTGCCCAACGGCCTCACGAAGTCCTGATTATCCTCTTCACAGGGTCAGACGGCGAACAGTTTGTTCGGTTATGTTCGGTTCATTGGCAATTTTTATCTATCTTGTGTGCCACAAACAATATGCTGAAAACGTTGCTGCTGCACTGGATGCGAGCCATTTGCGTAAGGGCGAAGGACGGTTTCCATAGTGTTTCGCAGGTGGTGTTCACGTAGCGGCCTATAAAACAACAAGAAAACAGAACACATGAAACAAGAAGAACAATCGAAGGGCATGGCGATTGAAGCCAGCTCCATCATCCAACCCCCACTGAATTGACCCGGGTTCCGCACGTATGAACATCTGGTTCATGGCATGTCCCCGTGCCCCTCTTTCGGAAGTGTTAAGCACACGACTTGGAGCTCTCTTGCGGGACCTGGTTACTTCAAGGGCCCTTACCAGGAGGTGATGCTGGAGAAGATCGCAGCCTTCAAAGAGGAGATCGACAAGTCACTGGTTGGTCGATAGGCTGCCCAGTTTCTGGCCCGCTGGAGCACGAGAAATCATGAGAAATCCCATACAGAGCGCCGGTCAAGTTGCCAAAAGGTGTGTTCCCGAGAAGCATGTGTAGACCAGGTGTAGACCTGTGGGTTCAGGACAAAGGGTCGGTTTGCTTCGAACATCCACAGAGTGCCGGACAAGCACAGGAGAAGTTTCCTCTCATCTTAAGAGAGACCAGTTGGTCATGAAGTCAAGCAGTTTTTCCAGCGGTTTTGAGTGGTCACTGGCCTTCATTTTAATGCAGAATCACGGTGTGTTTCAGAAGAATCAAGTCCTGATCGGGCGTTCAGGGATTTGTACTGGTTGCCTGGGTGTTTGCTTCCAAGTTCTTCTGAACTTCTGAACACAATCCAAATCAATCAGAGATTGGGAAGAGATAAACTGATTCGCAATGAACACCTGCATGGCCATCGGTATTCTCCGAACATGTCTGATCAGTCTAATCATGGTTCCATGTCATTCAATCAAACCTGTTTGGCCAAATGTCAAAATGGTGCCAGTACCGTCTCGCGCGACCCATCGGGCTCTCCTGACCGTGAGTCCGACCAGAATCCAGAGACTGCCTGTCCCAATCGGTTGACAAAAATGTGTTTCCTGAACTTAGGAAGGATAATATACCGGCAGGGCAACGAGAGACTTGACAAAAAACAACAGGTGAAGTTAGAAACGAGACACTGGATGAAATGAGGTGTTCCGAACGAGCGTCCATCCCAGTTGAGTTTCCTCTTCTCTTAGGACGGGCCGCCCATCTCGGCGGTTCCGATAGAGACATTCTGGACCCAACATGCGTTCCAGACGACCAGTCACTCTCTTATCGATGTTGGGCTCGCCCTTATGGATCCCATAGTAGACGGGCGACCAGGCGGCCAGGGGCCAGTCTCGGGGGTCTTTTCAGGAAAATGCCGGGGAATCCTCCAAATACACCCGGGAAGATTAACATTGAACCTGGAAATGGACCTTTGGAAGACTACAGTATTTTCCTCTACAGCCCAGTGATTTTCAGGTTCCATGTTAGTTTATCTTCCAGAGTGTAACAAACAAGTTGATGTTCCTCCAAGCCAAACAAGTTGATCATGTTGATCGGCCTCCGTGTTGGCAGGACTTGCGGACGAATGGCACACCGATGGAATTCCTGGTGGAGAGGTTAGGCGCGAGACCCTAGGACGTGCAGTCCTTAGATGAGTTGAACCAGACCAAGTTGTAGAACATGACACATTGTTCATCACGAAATTTGAGTTTTAACATGTCTTTACATCTTTATGTTGGCCACACTGGTGCATATTCCTGGCCCGATAGACTTGACTTGTAGAACATGCGACCGCATACTCAACTGAACAAAAATAATGTAATATATATATATATTTATTTATTTATTTGTAGCAAAAAACCGGAGGGACCTGGCTAGCACGAATCCTTGTCATGTGCAAAGTTACTGTAGCTTATTGATTGTTATAGATGTTATAGCATATTTGGCATGAATTCTGTGCAAAGCCAGCAATTCAACGGCCCCCCAGAATAGACTCTAGCACAATCACTGCGGATGGTCCCCATTCTGTGTAGGAAGTATATTTGCTTGCATTGACCCGTTTCGTTTAGGGCCAGGAATACCTGTAAGCCTTTTGCAGACGCGTACGCTGACTGTGCAAGAGCTGGCGCCGGCAGCAAGCAGAGCTGTTTGGGCGCGCTCATGCTAAAAAGGGTTGGCGATCTCGCGTGCAGCTGGGTGTCCTTCTCCGTGTTTTTTCTTGTTATTTTAGTACGTTAAACAAGAAGTGGATCTGGAATTGCCCAGAGTTTAGATCTGAAATTGACCAGAAAGGGACTCCAAGTTTCCAAAAACTGCCACCGTCTCATAGATTCATCAATCTTATCGATTTCAGAAGGACTCCCAGACTCAGGAGCTTGATCCGAGCCACGTGCCAGCAAACAAATAGGAATCTTTCCATAGTGCGTCACCTAGCCACAAAGCGGTTTCACTAGTCTAAATATAATTTACATTAAAAAACATGTATATACATAATTGCAATTTGCTGGGTGATTTTGTGGTCCCAGAGTTCAGCCATGTTTTCATCGCACCGTTTGCCATTGGGTTTAAACGATGTGTTACATAACCATATCCTATTGTTCGGGGGTAATTCGTAAATGAGAGGAGCGCCACACGTCTGCCAAAACTGATGATCTTGATCGGAATCCTATTGTTCGTCAACAGGGCTCACTGGCTTGAGGCACTGACGCAGGTGGTTTGAATGGTTCAGGTTGTTTGCAGCGAAAGCAAGCAGTTTCTTCACCTATAATACGTACTAATGACATAGGTTTAACATGAAATTCGTGCCACCGAAAACGCACCGAACATCACGTGCGAAATCAGACATCCGCTGGTGACGATCTCGGGCTGACAAACCGCACCGATCCGCTCGGATCCTCGGCCGCAGAGGCCCGGTTTTCGATCCGCTGCCTGCCGGCACCAAAATGGGCACGCGGGAGGGTGCGCGCCACGCGGGCCACGCGGTGTCGGTGTGTGGGTGTGGGTGTTTGTGTTTGTGTGTCTGTGTGTCAACTCCTGCGAGTCGGAATGACCACACTTTACATTGCAGGGGGTCAAAGTGCGATATCACCAACCTTGACCAATGAAGCTGGGTGATATCGCGGGGTGTGGGACTTGGCCAGTCCCACGCACCTGCTTTGTTTGAACTGTTGCAAAAAAGCTGTGACACGCCCTTTATGCATGCGGTTAATTCAAAAATGCATGCCGTTAATTCAAGAGTGCTAAGTATTCAGTACCTAGCTTGCCGGGTTCAACTGTTGCTCAAGCTGTTACCCAACTTTTCCTGTAAAGTGCTAATGAACTTTTCTGAAACAATACTGTTGTCGCGGACTCAGCCACCTTTCCGTTCCCTCAGCCGAGGTCTAATTGCGTGTAAAGGTCTACTTGCAGTAACACTGGAGTGCACCAACTGATGTAGCTCTTGCGAGCATGGATCCAAGTGTGTGCCGCATCAGGGTCCCACTGGTGTCTGTTGTGTGATCCCTATATACCAGGCGTGTTGAGCATAGACCCTCCAGGGGGGGAATTCTCTCTGAGTCATCGTCGTGCTGGATTCTTCGCTGATCAGCTGACTGCTCGAGATCGCAGATTGTATGCCGCAGGGCCACCTGTATTCCTCACAGAATGACATGACACTTCATGCCGCTAAGTAATCACTGTATAGTTTGCCACGTCATGCAGCTAGGTATTCACTCATTCGGCTAAGTATTCACTTTGTTGCTTTACTTCCACCTCCCACCCGCCTCAGCAATACTGCTAAGTATTCATTGCTGCTTTGCTTTTCTTCTTTCAGGTTCTCTTTTTTGTTAAGGTCTTTCTTCGTTTCTAAAGGCTTTCTATGTGTAACTGATGCTTTTTAGTCAAGGGAGCGCCGGGTTCGGCTTTCTGGCCAGTGCCTTTTTGGCCCGTGCCTTTCACCCCGCACGCACCCCTGCCCACCCCCCATTGCTTTTTTCGTTTGTTTGGTCTTTCCTTCAGGCTTGTTAGGTCGACTTGTAGGCTCGTTTAGTCATTGCACACCCCACCCACACACACCCCGCATTTTTTTTCCTGCTGCTGTCGTTTATCTTTTTTGGCTTTTCTTCGTTCTAGAGGCTTTTTAAGTTTGTGACCAGGTTTTGCAGTCAAGTGCCCGCCTTTTTCCCCCAGAGCGCCGAATTCGGCATCATGTGTGTGTCTGTGTGTCAACTTTTGCGCGTCGGAATGACCACACCTTTAAATTGCAGGGGGTCAAGGCGCGATATCACCAACCTTGACCAATGAAGCTGGGGTGGGAGTCCTATGTACCTTTTGTTTCGCTGTTGCAAAAGCTGTGACACTCTTTTTATGCATGCCGTTAATTCAAGAGTGCTAAGTATTCAGTAACTAGCTTGCCCGGTTCAACTGTTGCTCAAGCTGTTACCCACTTTTCCTGTAAAGTGCTAATTATGAACTTTTCTGAAACAATACTGTTGTCGCGGACTCAGCCACCTTTCCGTTCCCTCAGCCGAGGTCTAATTGCGTGTAAAGGTCTACTTGCAGTAACACTGGAGTGCACCAACTGATTGGCTCTTGCGAGCATGGATCTAAGTGTGTGTGTGTGTTGGGGGGGAGGATGTGGGAGGATGTTTTTGTTTCTGGGTCAACTTGACCCTGGTTTGGAAAGTGGCGCCGTTTGGGAAGCAGTGTCGTTGATGATCTGGATACACACATGTTTGGATTACAATGTCATGGATAGGTCTTGGATGATCTTGTGCTGAGCCATACACCATGCTTCATGATCAGCAGTGGCCGAAGGAACATTCATGAAACAAGTGCTGGTATTGGCATCGCGATTCGGTACAGAATACAAAATAACATTGTGTGGCAAAAACATGGGACGGACTGGGCTGAGGCTTGCACGGTCTTTGCTCCAAAACCTTCATTCCCACCGAAGTGAAAATGACCAGCAAAAACCTTGGTCACCTGGAACTAGCACACCGCCACTTCACGGACTGATTCGCTGAATGTCCGGACCTCGTCTTCATCACGCACCGGCACGGATGAAAAATAACACTGCTGCTGGCATCATGGGCTCGACGTTGGAGCCTTGAGCTCGACGAATAGCACTGGCTAACACGGAGCGCGCATCCAAGCTTCAACTGAGCGATCCTCAGGTGCCGCGACCCCACAGGAGTTGGGTGGGTGGTGCGGTGGGTCTGAGATCGTTGGTGTTTGTAGGATAAAATCAATGGCTGCCATATGCCCAGTTCAACGAAAGGTACCCCGTTCAGGCAAAGTTGGGCCACAAACATGTTGTTTCGAAACCTCTATCCTTCAAATCTGTTCATAAAAAATGGGAAAAGGATGGAAAAAGGGAACTCATATCAGACTTCATGAAACATGTTTGATTTTGTTCGCGGGTGTACATATATCTATATATCATATTCTGAAACATTTCTGAAACACTGTTCGGTGGCATCATTCCATGGGCAGCCGCAAGCTACTTGTTGGCGAACCGAGCCGACCGAGCCGATGCGCAGGCATGGACGTGTTCACTGAGGCTGGGAACGGTCGGCTGTGTCGGCTGTGTCCAGCTCTTAAGCGATTGGGCCAAGCGTAGAAGAAGCGACGTATCTAGTCGGAAAATGATGAAAACACCTATAGTGATTCAATGAAGTATGTTGAAGTATGTTGAAGAAATGCACTCAATATAGAATCCAATGGTTGGCTGGCATTGGTTCGCACTGCTCAATAATGTCATGTGTTTCACGATACTTCCTCTCGAATCTGCACCACCAAAGGGCATTCTCAGAAAAAAATCAATGAACATAAATCACAAAATCCATAACTCCGCCAACAATATCACATGTCCCTGCATAAGTTTTTCAAGGTGTCCAGAATATATAATATGTGGAACTCAATGGACTGAAAGTAGTATGTGAGTCAGATGTTTTGCTACCTTGTTGTCCTTCTTTTGCCAGGAATTTAGGAGCCAGAGCCAGAGATGTTCTGCCATGATCCATCACTGTTTTGATTGTTCCTTCTTCAGAAAAGAAATTACTTTACTTCGAGTGATCCCCACCATGACATTCAATCTGCCATTCTATCTGGTAATCTATCTGACATACTATCTGGCATACTGTCTGGCATACTATCTGGCATTTTGTCTGGCATACTATCTGTCATTCTATCTGGCATATCTTCTGGCATTCTATCTGGCATATTTTCTGGCATTCTATCTGGCAATGTATCTAGCAATCTATCTGACACACTATTTGGCATGCTATCTGCCATATCTTCTTGCAGCATTCTATCTGGCAATCTACCTGGCATTCTATCTGGCATTTTATCTGGCAAACTATCTGGTTGAGGTCCAGCGGTGCACACTGCGATCGGATCCTTGCGGTTGAGGTCCAGGGGTGCACACTGCGATCGGATCCTTGCGGTTGAGGTCCAGGGATGCACACTGCGATCGGATCCTTGCGGTTGAGGTCCAGGTGTGCACATTGCGAGGGGATCCTTGCGGTTGAGGTCTATATAGGGCATGCACACTGCGCTCGGAGTTGAGGTCCAGGGGTGCACACTGCGATCGGATCCTTGCGGTTGAGGTCCAGGGGTGCACACTGCGATCCGGAGCTGGCCAAACAAGATCGGCGAAGCAGATTGGCGAAGCAGATTGGCGATGAAGATTGGCGAGGAAGGAAGCAAGGAGGAAGGAGGAAGGAAGGAGGAGGAGGAGGAGGCGGAGGAGGAGGAGGAGGAGGAAGAACAACTGTGATAAAATCTAATTACTTTACTTCAAGTGATCCCCACCATGACATTTCAATCATTTGTCTTGATGCCATAGTGAGGAGCATGTTGCCATAGTCGTTAGTATTGTAGTTCTCGATGTTGCTTGTGGGTCCTCGGGTTGTGCGCTGTGGTTGTGTGCTGTGTTGTGGTTGTGGTTGTGTTTGTGGTTGTGTGTTTGAGGTTGTGTGTTTGTGGTTGTGTGTTTGTGGTTGTGTGTTTGTGGTTGTGTGTTTGTGGTAGTGGTTGTGGTAGTGGTTGTGATTGTGTGTTTGTGATTGTG